TTTCTTCAATTTGCTTTAGCATCTCTATGCTAGAGAGCAAGTTTTATAGTCTCTTCTAACATCCATTTTGATGTTTTCTTTCTTTCTTGGCTTCTTAATGACTTTTTGCTTTCTTCACGTATGATATTCTTGATATCATCCCACAACTCTTCTTGTCTTTGGTCTTTAGTGTGTATTGTATCAAATCTGTTCTTCAGATGATCTCTAAGTTCAGGTGAAATATATTCAAGGTCATATTTTGGCTCGAATTCTTCAAAATCAATAATTTGTTCATTTCAAATACCTTCTTTAAACAGCATTAGAGACGATTAAACACATGGATCTTACCAGATGGAATACAGAAAAATCAAATTATCTACATCTGTGGAAACAGACGATAGAAGCAAATTCAAATAATGGAATAATGAGACATTATTATTGGCCTTTCAGAAGTTATATTTCAAATAAAAAGATACATTACCTCATAAATCTTGTTAAGGTGTTTTGCATGAACATACATAAGGCCATTCCATCCTTTAAATAAGAATAAGCATAAACAAAAAACTGTAATGAAAATGTGTTCATAAAAAGTTAAAAATAAAACATTTTCAGCATTTAGAAACGAAGTAAAAAAAATACCTAACTTACTTTTAGGAGGTTTCCATTTAAAAGGCACTGATGAAATCTGAAATGCAAATAATGCTACATTTGATGTCCCTGACCTCTTAGGGGTCCTTGAGCTCATCTGGCATGCCATATTACAGCACAGTATGCAGTGGAAGAGTCAGATCACATATTCTAGATAATGTGAAGCTCTACTCAGTAACTTAGAAGGAAGAGGCATACAACATATCTACTTACTCCTACAAACTATAATCCTTTAAAAATATAAACACATAAAAGTAGGAGGGGAAGACAGGGGAAATTATGTTTTGTTCTTGGTACCTTTGAGGCTTTTATCTTGGTTTGTGCACAAACTGCAGCTTTATCAGATTTTTAAAAAAGCAGTCTAACTCATTGCCACATCTTCACCTCAAATGCTTTTTTCCATACAGTGCAATCTGACCTACAAGTTTCTCTAAAATACTTACCTTCTAATAATCTATTTGTCAATTAAATAGCTTTTTTTCTTGTTTTCATCTTCATCTCTCTATAACATGTGGTACCCTTCTTTAGCCGATTAAATACATTTATTACTATGCCATCTTGGTTTCCAGTGACATTATTTTACTCCTGATTCTCTTATTTCTTTGATTATTCTTTTTATTTTTCTTCCTTAGATCACGTATTCAGGTAATGCTCTAAATGCATGTATTTCCCCTAAATCCAATGCATCCCCCCCCCTCTTTTATCTAAATATTCTTCCTTGGAAGCTTCATCCACACCCATTGCTTTGACTACTGTTTTTATGTAGGATCCCAAAACCTGTAGACATTTCCACATTCTGACAGCACCTCAAACTCAACATGGTAAAATCCAATTGAGAATGAAAGAAGGTGGGCTTTAATATTAGTGCTACCATTTAATAATAACAGAAATTGAGCACCTTACGTTTGAATGTCAGTTTCCTCACACGGAATCAGGAAAGTACCTGTTCTCTATGATTTCAGGGACGATTCTAAAACCAAACCTCTGTTGTTAAGTCAATTCTGACTCATAGTAACCAATCAGGACAGAGCACAACTGCCGCGTCGTGTTTCCAAAGCGGTACATCATTGTGAGAGCAGACGGCCACATTCTTCTCCCTTTCAGTTAGCAGCCAAGTGTTTTAACCACTGTGCAATTAGGACTTCAAAAAGGATGGCTTTAAAAAACCTCAAACAAACCCACTGCCAGTGAGTCAGTTTCAGTTCTGACTCCAAATCTTTATGGGAGCAGACAGCCTCATCTTTCTCCTGAAGAGCATCTGGTGGTTTTGAACCGCCAGCCATTTCTTTAGCAGCCCAACACCTATTCTACAGTGCCCCTTAGATAAAATGTCTATAGACACTAGATAAAATTGTATATCTATGAGTTAGTGGAGAAAAACATCTTCCAGTGAATAAGATTCAAAGTTTTGGTATCACATTCAACTCTTGCATTCCAATTAGTTACCAAGTACTAGTTACATTGATAGAATCCCTCTCAATTCTTCTTTTGAAATATTTCTATTATCAATCCCTTATTTTTCTACTTTCTTGTTACCAAGTACTAGTTACATTGATAGAATCCCTCTCAGTTCTTCTTTTGAAATATTTCTATTATCAATCCCTTATTTTTCTACTTTCTTCCTAACTTTTGTTTCTTGCTTCCTAACTGGTCTCTATATTTAGTTGTTTTGTTTTGCATGGTTATTCTCCTTCTTCTTTCTCTTTATTTAATATATGTTTCATGCCGATAAACATTCTGATGATTTTATATCACTAAAAGAAGTTCAAATTCCTCAGCAACACATTATGGACCACTTGAGGTGGTTCCTTGAGGCTGACAGTATGTCTTCTTCATCCTTGTACCTCCCTCAGCAGCTAGTACTAGGAGCCTCCTGAAGCTAAACTAAACAAATGACTTTTAGATGGACAACTTTGTTGAGTTATTAAAATAATGCAGACAAGAAGAGGTAAAAATTATGATGGTGCAAATTTCCTAATGTAAGTCTATAACAAGAACATAGACATTTAAGCCACAGAGAACTAAAGGGACAATGGTTTGACAGAAAAGAAACAAGGGAACTCAGGGGCAAAGAATATCATCTTCAAGCTAGACAACATCTAAGAGTATAAAAGCTATCAAAATGCAAGAATTTTCCTTGAAGCATTATGCCCATTCACTACTGAGTAGCAGAGATTTTTATTTCCTTATAGCCTGAAGTTTATCACTGGATTTCTTGTAGTCTACAGATTATCTGTAGCATCATTCTTATAAGTGGACTAAAACTTATTTTAGAACCTTCTTCCATTCTTTTCTCTATCTCATAGCGTTTTAGGATTAATCTTTGTGTTATTCTAGTCTACTTCCAGGCCTTTCAACTAAAAATTAACTGCCAAACAGAGACAGTTTAAGCACTTTCCTGACACCAAAATGAAATCAACTTCTTAAGGTACCAATGAAATGTTTAAAAAAAAAGTGAAGTGACAGGCGAATACAGTAAAATACTGATGATGCTGTTATGGGTACAGCATTAATCACTCTATTTCTGTTTATTTTTACAAATTTTCATTCATTAAACCTGTCTTATGAAACTTTGAAAAAGTACAGTGGCAAAAACACCAACATAATTGTCTTTTTAAAAATGTCACTTAATAAGTACATTAAGCATTTTTATTATTTTTATTATATTAGGAGTGATCCAATTACTAAAATCATAATATGTCATCATCTTCAGAAAATAAAAGCAAATTCAATAAATAAGCAGATGCCAGTAATGCATCTGTAACAACAAAGAGTAAGTATGCTAGATGGAAAAAAATCTCACTGAGAGCAAGACTGTAACTTAAGTCATGTTAGGAGTCTCCTAGTATCTCAGCTGTCAGGGGGGCAGATGATATGTGCAGCTACAACTCATACATATGCATGAGACTCAAAAGATCAAAGCCACTTTAAAGTTTAGTTTACACATATTTATAGAACTAGAAATAGTATTTGTAAAGTTCCTGATAATTAGTTCCATTCAGGAACTTCCACATACACTGTTTCTAGCTCTTTCTGATTTTAAAATCTTCATGTAATAAATATATTTCATACTTTATACACAGTGCTGTTTCTTAAAATTGTCCAACTTATAGAATGAATTGTGTCTTCCCAAAATATGTCTTGTAATTCTAAACCCTATACTTGTGGAGGTCATCCCTCTTGGGAATACAATTTTCTTAGGTATACTAATCAGTTAGAAATGTGTTTAAAACCTAATCTGGGTCAGAAGCCCTTGGAGGCACCTCAGAAGAAACGCTTGGTGATCTAATTCCAAGAAGCCAGCCACTGAAAACCTGACAGAGCACACATGAAATCACCATGAGTCATAATTACTTTGACAGCAAATGATGACTAGTGTCTTCATAAAAATCACATAAGTAAAACAAAAATATCTCAGCCAGAGATGACTGATAAATGTGTAGACTCTAAGCATATTTCATACAACACTTGCCTCTGGAGTTCCTAGTGCTTTCACAGCATTCAGATCAGAGCCTGAGGAGAAAGTATTGTTTGCCCCACAGACAATGAACCCTTTCCCCTCTGTCCAATTTTCCAATTCAATTACTTTTTCTAGAAGCTGCAGCATCATAACTCCTACGAGAGAAAAGAGGGGGATGTCACAAATCCATAGGAGACATGAAAAAAAACAGAAATAATTTATGAACCTTAAGATGTCAAAGCAAGACTTTTGAATACTATAGTTTACAAGTATTTACTTAAACATTTCTCAAAAATTTGTAAAGAGGCATAAATGCCAGTTCCATCTTTTAATCAGCTTAAAATTTATTAGTTATACCTATCTACCTATGTCAGTTAAAAATCACATAAATATGTGACTACGTAGAACAATTAAAAGAATATAATATATACATATCTTAGGAAAAGGAAACTTGGAGAAACAGGAGATTTGGTGGTAAGGAAAAATTATTATTTAGAACAGATAAACTACAGAGACCTGATTCGATATTTCATATAAAGGATGTTAATGTCTGTGTCAACAAATTCACTAAGAGAGTTATAGGTGTAACATATGGCTAGATTTCAAGATACATTAATGAACCTATGGTACAGAAAACAAAGGTATACTTATAGAAACAACGACAATATAGGATGTTAGTTCAAGAAAAGGATAATAAATATCACCTTATTCCACAGCTGACAAAATGCTCTAAAGAGCACAAGATATACTATGTAAATGCTTCACAGGCTGACAATAAGATGCTTATCAATGATCAATTCCATTGATGTTTTGATTAAATTAGATGGTAATTTTGATATGATTAAAATTACATTGGAGCTTGATTAAAACAGAAAAGTTTAAGAACTGTCACTTTAAGATTTTCTAATCAGTAACTTTTAGATGCTTATCGTTGGATGTTATGATCTTCCAAGTTCATCATGTTCCTAACATGACTGATGTAACTTTTCTCTGCCTAGGAAAATACTTGAGAAGTCACAAAGATCTTAGTTGTTGTTGTTAAATAGTGTCTAATCAATTCTAACTCACAGTGACCTGGTAGAGGGTTTCTGAGGTGCAGCTGTTGGGCTTGAACAACCGACCTTGTGGTCAGCAATCCAGTGCTTATCCTATAGCACCACACTAGGAGTTCAGGGTTAAAACTAGTGAAGAATCTGTTTTATAAAATTCCAAAACTAAGTATATTGTTTTTGTTGTTATAAACTGCCATTGGGTCAGTTCCAACTCATAGAGACCCTGTATAGGGTTTCCAAGGAATGGGTAGTGGGTTTGAACTGCCAACTTCCTGTTCAAATCAACTTTGCAGTTCAATGCTTATCCTACAGTACCACAACCATCTAAGTTCCATTAAATAATGTACACTTCTTTGAAATAAATCATACAATGAAAAGAACATTACTTTCTTTTCCATTTTCTGAAGTACCCAGTAGTGTGGTGTTGCCATAATAAATGTTAATGTTACTAACTCACAAATGACTAATGCAGCTGTCCTTTCTAATTGATAATTATGACCTAGTTAAAACAGTAATCTTACTCAAGTATGTCCTAAATGCTTTAGAAATATAGTTCTTTCTCTTAATGCATTTTCAGTCAAGTATGAGATTCAAACAAACAAAAAATGTACATTAAGGTAAGAATAAATCTGGATACGTAAATATGGAGCTTGAGTCATCCACGTTTAAGATTCTTAAAAAAAAAAAATGCTGACCTTTAATATGAAAAATCTGTAACCAGTAATTAATCTTACATTTGTCATTTTCACGTCTTTTTAATTTTAAGAATCAGAAACAACCTTACAGAGTATCTGGTTGACTGATTTTCAAACAAACACCTTGGGGGCTACGGGGTATGGGGCTTACTCTTCATCTCCCAACCCAATTCACTGAACTGAAGAGCCATATGAAAACAGCTCTGCTTTTGTTAGTTTTATATGTTATGTATCAAATTAATATAATTGTTTCCATTTAAATAAAAGTTTTCACTACTTACAAATGATTGTTTGTAGCTATTGACTGTGAATGAAAGCTAATGCTATAGTCTAGCTCTCTAGAGCATCTTCTTTTCTTTTCTTTTTCCTAGGCCAGTATTAAAATTTATGTTTACTATTATATGAACCAATTAAAGGTAGGAAATTGTTGTTGTGCGCTGTCAAGTCACTTCTGACTCATAGTGATCCTATATAACAGAGCGTCCAAGAGCAGCTGGTGGGTTTGAACTGCCAACCTTGCATAAGCTGTCTAGTACTTATCCCACAGCACCACATCAACACTATTCACTAAAGTAACCACAAGCTACCTTCAGCTACCAAGCACTTGAAATGTGCCAAGTCCCAATAGAGAGGCTCAATAAATATCAAAAAGTCACCGCAGATTTCAAAGACATAATATGAAGAAAAGAATGGAAAATATCTTATTAGTAATTCTTAAAATGGATTCCTGGTATGGCAGTACAAGATCGGCACTGTACTGCAAACCACAAGGTCAGTAGTTCAAACCCACCACCTGCTCCTTGGGAACCCTGTACAGATCATTATGAATGAGAACCAACCTGACGACACTTAACAATAGCAATGACAACACACTGATTATGTTGAGGTGATAATGGGGCTGTGTTGAATTAAAACTAGTTTTACCTGTTTCTTTTTACGTTTTAAAAATGCAGCTACTAGAAAATTGGAGTCCCATTATGGCATTGCAGAATAAGCACTGGGCAGCTAACCACAGGCCAGTGGTTCAAACCCACCAGCTTCTCTCAGAAACCCGATGCAGGGTCACTATCAGTAGAAACCAACTTGAAAGCACACATATGAGTCACACAAATACAAGCCACATATATTATTTAAATTTTTTTAGTTGCTATTGTTAAGTGCCATTGAGTTGGTTCCAACTCAAAGAGACGCTATATATAGTTTCCAAGGAGTATCTGTGGTTAGCAGCACAGTATATATAGTATACTTAAATATATTAGTGGTCAGCTCTACTGAGAAAAGTCATCTTTGGTTTAAGAAAGCACTGCTGTAGTACTGAACTGCTAATAGTGGGTTGGTGGTTCAAATCCACCAGCTGTTCCTTGGAAACCCTATACAAGGTTGCTATGAGTCAGAACTGACTCGGGTGCACTTAACAACAACAAATAATAACAATACATAAACTTTATAGTCCACAGAATTAGTTACACATTTATAATTCTTCATAAAGTAGAAAAACAATAATTCAGATACTTTTTAGTCCAATTATTTCAAATGCTACAAAAAAATATAAGTACCTTCCATGAAGTGCATAGGTAATAGGCAGAGATTAATGAAATCACCTTGAAATGAACATACTAGGAGGCCAACACTCTCATTAGGTCTTGTACAACATCTAGGTAGCATAATTCAAATGTGAGCAAAATTACAAACTGCCATATAACCTGGACTGTCAGGTTTTTTTTAATGTAAAATTTTTATATTCTAAGAGCCTTGCCTAGCAAATAGATAACATTCAATGGTATCTAAGAATTAACAAAAAGTCAATAAATAAGAAAGGGCAGTGTTTATTGACTACTGGATCTACATAATTTAATATATTTGCTCTTACTGTTGTTCTACAAAAAGTATCACAACTTGCAAGAATTCTGATACCTGAACAAGAATAAAAACTACAAGACAGCAAGTTAGCTTTAAAGTCATTCTTTAACTAGCAAAAGACAGAACTCTAGTACCTGAGAACGCATTCAGTTTACTTGGATTGTTCAAAGTAAGAATGCCAATGCCATTATCTTTCTTCTGAAGGTCAATGGATCCACCAGGAAACTGCTGAAGTGTTTTTTTTATTTCTTCCTCATGGTAGCCATGAGATGTATTATAGAGTGACAATCCACTCTGACATAGCAATTTTGTCCTTGCTGAGAGAGATGATGTCTTCAAAAGACTTGTCGCCATTTCTGGAAAAGAGTATATGCAGGGCAATAAATTACGTCATATTGCTCTTCTACCCACAGTGCTTGGAACTCCCACCAAATGACTCTTTTTCCAATGGGGCTGGGTAAGAGAAGTGAGGGAAGATGCTGAAATGATTATATGATTCAGTTGTGAATAACTGCTAACAGGGTTAATTAGGATTGCAAAAACCTGGATATTCAAAATGGGGGTGGTGGTGGTTAATTTTGCCATCTTACTGGGTCTACAATGAGTCATTTCAGGAACAGCAACAGGGGATCTCGTTACAGAGTAAGAAGATCTAGGAGTAGACCGTGTCCTGAGCATCAAAGAACCTCAACTCAGGAAACAGAGCTGTGACACCAAAGGAGTAGCAGAGGAGTTATTATTGTTGCTGTCACGTGCCATCGAGTTGGTACCAACGCACAGCAGAATGAAACACTACCCGATTCTGGGCCAACCGCATGACTATTGCCAGGCTTGAGTCCACTTATGCTGCCATGTGGCCAATCCATCTCATTGGGGGTCTTCCTCTTTTTCTCTGACCCTCCACCTTACCAAACATGATATCTTTCTCCAGCAACTGGTCCTTCCTGACAATA